AATGGAGGACGATGAAACGAGTCCTTCTGAATATGTGAAGTCACTGTAGGGATTTGCTAAAGGCAAGTTGGTTATTACTAGAGAGGACCAAAAAATGGCCTTTCCTGCATTTAAACTGTCAAATAATAACATTGCTCCCTGTAAAAAGGTCAAATACCTCGGCCATTTCCTTACAGAAGATATGACAGATGATGATGATATTCATAGGCAGTGCTGCAAACTATATGTACAGGCAAATACTCTTGCTTGCAGGTTTTATTCATGTTCAGATGATGTTAAAATATCTCTGTTCAAAGCGTACTGTACTCGTCTGTACACCGCACACCTGTGGGTTAAGTACAAGAAAGCAAGCATGAAAAGACTACAGGTTGCGTATAACGATGCATTACGGATTTTATTAAAAAGACCTCGCTGGCTGAGTGCAAGCGAATTGTTTGTAAATGCACATGTCAACACCTTTAACTCGGTACTCAGAAACCTTATGTATAGATTTATGTGTCGGCTCGATGTCTCAGAAAATCATATAATTAACAGCTTGACTCACATCAACTGTAGCTCCATCAGGTACCAATCTCTGTTCTGGAAACACTGGTACAGCTGTCTGTTTTTAACTTTATAGAAATCTCTATTTTTGATACCAAATGTGTAAATCTCTATTTTTATATCTTTAGCTGTATTCTTTTTTATTCTATGTTATATGTTTGCTGTTGTGTCCATGTATGTCTCACTATGGACCCTGAGTCTGAAATAAAGATATATATATATATATAGATTATTAATTACTAATTGTAATTAAGACAGAGAGAGAGAGAGAGCGCTCATAATCAGCACAAGGTAACAGTGGCCATGGAGGAACACAGTGGTCACTTTCCTATCCCTCAGAGGCCAGTAGACTAACTAGGTCAGCCTACCGTCCACTGGTCTTTGTTGCAGATAGGAATGCGGCGTATTGTGAGTGTGTGGCCAGCACAGCTAATGGCGGGTTATCCACCGAATTGCACAATCAATTTGCTCTGGCGAGCACAACAACAAACAGCAATCGATCAGATTATCAAAGGGAAAAGGGACACGGCGGTCCTCAAAGTTCACAGTCACACTTAAATCACACGCTATGCAGTCTCTGCCCAGACTGTAGCTCTCCTACTTGAGTCGCACGGCGCGATGACGTGTGTCCCGTCTGTTGCTCCGGGATGAGTGTGCAAAGCTGCTGGCCTCGGTGTGGCAGAAGAGGGATCAGTGGAGACGACTCGTTTGAAGAAGCGGGGCCTCGATGGTTCCGTCTTCCTCGGGAGAAAAGGGGGTTTCTCCAAACTCTGCAAATGTTGAAGAATGGTGTTGTTGTTCTCCATGGAGTGTTAAAAACAAAAGAAAAAGGTGTCTTTCCTCGGCCAGTGAGTCAAGAAACAAAAGGGCGGCCTTGGTCGGTCAAATTCAAATGTTTGTGGTGCTCCCTAGCAGTAACTTGCGCACAGAAAACTTTGGCTTCCTTCCAGCAACTCATCACTTGGGGATTGCGAGGGGTGTAAGCGTGCAGCGGCAATTAAAGTCTCAGTGACTTCAGAAGGGGTTCTCTCTGACTCCATCTGAACCTGGTTGCAGTCGCCCAATAGGGAGCAAGAGGTTGAATTTCAAAAGTGATTTACACTTTGATAGTTACAGGTCCGATGGAAGCTTGGCGTGTTTCCTTTGTTCTTAGACTGGCTGGTTTTGTTAAGGCCTCTCTATTGTTTAAAACATGTGGCTGAGGTCCCAACTTCACTCACTGTCCGGGGCCGTGAGTGTTACTTGAGTAAGTTAACACTGACCAGCTGGACAGGACAGGCCGACGCGTATGCTGTTACTTAATGGATGGATGATTTGATGAGATAGCCGAAAGTGGAATGGCCAGACATATACTGTACATTTACCTGAAAGACAAAACCAACTGTGTATAGTCAAGACAAACTCAGGGCATGTAAGTCCTTAGATGGCTATAACTATGTCTTAAATGGCCATGTACAGGACTTGAAATACCATGATTTAACTCATGAGTTTTGTATCTTGTGGTCTGAAGTTCTGCCAAGCCAACGGCAAGGACAGAAGACAGCTATGTACCAAGCCTGGGCCATTGTGAGCAGAGCAAACAACTTCATCTTGATGGAGAACTGCACGTGCAAGGCTGGGTAACTAGCAAACCTGCAACTTACATTTGAAAGGGTCCATGTGGTCCGACAGCCCATTGGTCCGACATCCCATTAGTCTGACGGTCCGCGGTGCTGAATGGCTCCCGGTGGGCGTATTTCTGCCTTGATGGTGCGCTGTGACCGGCTCTGGGTCAGCTGGGAAAGGCTTGAGGCGAAGCAGGCTCACAGCTTATGTTTTTGTCACTTTCTTTTTCATTTTGACCCACACCATGATCTTTTCTTAACCCTAACCAAGTGGTTTTTGTGCCTAAACCTAACCAGACCTTAACCACAGGGCATCATGATGATTTTGGAACAACGGGAATTTCGGAATCGGAACAATGGGTTTAATATAGTCAGAACAATGGGATGTCGGACCAATGAGCAGTCGGCCAATGGGCAGTTCCCCATTTGAAAGTGGTTGCCAAACACAGCTACATAACTGTTAAATTATCTGTGTGACTTCTATGGTTTATATGTAATGAATCAGCTAAACATTTAACAACTATTACAATCAACCACACTTGTTATTTTAGCTATGTTGTTAGGTTACCTATGTTGCCTTTAAAAAATTCACGAGTACAATGTTCTACTTGCCTCTCTGCCTGCTGCTTTGTTGCTAACCTGTGAGGTTAGCAACATGTTATTACTCTGTGTCATACTCCATCTAACATTGCAGACTAGGGTCTCGTTACAGCCATGCAGCAGCAATACTATTTAAGGTGGAGCTGTATGTTAGGATGGGGAGGACTGAGCAACCAGCAAGCTCATCACACCACCAAAAACAATAAGTGATAGCATGTGCTCCATTTTCATAAGATGCCCATCATCCAAGATAATGTGTCCCAAATAGACCTATTGTTATCTGTCCTCTAGAACTCACAGATGAAGACATGATCCAAGAACTCTGCTTGATTGCCCCTGATGCTTCTATTTTAATCTGGCCTACTAATGTCAGTAATTTTCCACTTTGTTGTCTTGAAGTTTGTTTTACCAGTCAGTCATGTAATAGCTTGTGAATTTAATGTATAACGTACTGCATACACCATTACGGCAATAATCAGAAGTAGTGGCGACCCAGCTTGCTAACATTAGCTAGCGTTATTAACCCTACTCTGTACAGTACTGTTAAGCACTAGAAAAGATCAATTGCTGATTTATTTTTATCTTTTCAGGGACCGACAACAGTTTATTACATGGTTAAGAAAGTGGTAAAACAGACTTCAACATGTCATTATAGGTTACACATGTACAGCAGGTTGTGATTGAGTAGCTCTCTTTCCTCTCATCCGTCTCGGTGTCCATTCCAAATGGTCCATCTATTCCTTTAGCTCAATGCATGATGGGGTACATTGCTTGGTGAGTGACCATCAGTTGTACACTACTTTTCACTGTGCATTGTGGGATATTTTGAGTCCACTATATGGTAGGGTGACCATATTTTGATTTCCAAAAAAGAGGACACTCGGCCCGGCCACGAGATAGCCTACTTAAATGATACTCGCAGTTTACTCAAAGATGCCTTATAGTTTTAATATATTTAAAATTTATATGTATGGATAGAATATTCAGTTATATTACAAAATAATATCTCTCAAAGACAGAAATTCAGATAGGCCCCTATAGATAGGGGACACATACACACACTAGAGGGTCCCGACGGGTCGGGCCGGGCTCTGTCAAAAATGTATAAATTTTTCTTTCGGGCTCGGGTCGGATTCGGTCAGCTTTCAGTGAAAATGTAGTGTAAAAATAAATAAAATCCTATTGTCTGTCCTGTTTATTGCTTGGGGACTGTTATTTACGTGACAACACCTGAACATAACACACACACACATACACATACACACACATTGGCTGTTTGTTTCTACCTCTCCCCTCTCTGGAAGTCTTGGACCTCCAGCCGCCCGCCTCCGCCTTGATTAAACACTGAAAATAAAATAAAAGAGGGAGACAGGTTTTTCCTATTTTATCTTATTTTGTTATATTTCTCCCTCTCCCCTCGCTGGAAGCCTTGGACCTCCCGCCGCCCGCTCCCGTCTGAAACACGGAGGTCTCCCTCTCCGCGGAGCACCCACAGCGCATGCCCGGCCTGTTAAATAGCTTGTAACCATAACAACTGTGTGACACAAACTCAGTGCTTTAGTCATTAAATAATGTTGGGCTCGGTTTGGTTTCGGACATAACAAAACAGAATGACTGTCGGGTTTGGACAGAAATATGCGGCCCGTGCCACACTCTAACACACACACACACACACACACACACACACAAGGAAAACCAGACATTATCATCAATTTATAAACACCCCCCGGACACCCCGGACAGGACGTCAAAAGTGGACATGTCCGGGCAAAAGAGGATGTTTGGTCAGCCTGCATATGGGAATAATAATTCCCACATATTCAGAAATGGCAAACCCACTATATAGTGGACTAGAGTGAGTAGTGAGTGATTTTGGACACTGCCCTGGTCGCCTGTTCCAATGTGCATTCACTGAATGCTCGGAAGGAGTGTTGCCTAGACTCTGCAGGACCTGACTTGGATGGATTTTTCCTACCAAGGAAGCATCCTTGACTTTGAGAGGCACCAAGTATGAAAATTGCTTAAGTTGTGTGTAACACTAAGCAAAACTTTAGTGACTTTATTCTCTAGCTGGCTTTTGGTTATATGCCTCAACAATCAGGTGTTAGGAATTAAACTTGTACAAACTGCATATTTCATTATATATTTTGTTATCTTTTGTTGTAGTTGTAGTGATGACGCCTGTATTTTAAAAAAGAAAAAGACCGGAAGTCTTGATTCTCGCCAGCGGAACTCAGGCAGCAGGCGGAACAGAAACAACACTGCATTGTTCAGGGGGAACCATAACATCGTCGGACACTGTGTGGTCTCTAAGCTGACAGCGTTTTTGAAGGTATGTTCAATGCCTTACACCCACAACACAAATGTTAAATGACAGCACTGATAAACGGAAAGAAATGTTTTTATTGCGCTTTGAGCAAAATTACCGCATTTCCAGCTTCACGTGTGTTTGGCTCACTGGCTCATACTTAACGTAGACTCACACACTATGAATCCACGAGGGTGTATTTTGGTTTATGTTCGTGGCAGACGACAGACAGTCGTAGTTTCGTCCAGTAAGCAAGCTGCTCCCTCCACTCATGTCAGAGCAGTCTGTAATGTGTAACTTACCAGTAGCTTATAGCAACACATTGTCTGTAACTTACTGTCATCGTAGCTCTTGGAATTAGCAGGCCTTAGTGAGCCTTGCTTGTATGTGTATGAGGTTGTAAAAACCTCGATAATGTAAGTTAGATTAACGTTAATCGTCGACCTCAGAATTGTTAAGATCTCTAAAAAAGAGAGGCTCAAATTCAGCCTAGCTTTGCCGAGAAACGTCAGAGTCAGTATAATCATTTTCATGTATTGTTCAATTAAATTGCTTTTAATTTTGGTTGTTTGGTTGTGAGCCAACTTCTAAGTCTCATAAACCCAGACATTTGACTTGTGTTACTGTCGCCTGTTCTCTCTCTCTCTCTCTCTCTCTCTCTCTCACTCAGACGTTAACCCAAAGATATTTATTATTATATAAAATATACCATGTAAATATACAATATTCACATTTGAGAAGCTGGGTTTAGAGAATTTCTGCTAATTACAAAAAACAATTAATAGTTGAATGAAATGGTTGCCGATCAGTTAACATTGACTAATGGACTGATCAGATAGTAGTTGCAGCTTTGCTCGCAATTGGCTATGCTGTATAATAGTCTAACAGCAAGGGGCATTCAAAATTATGATGTGAATATTATGTTAGTGAGCCTCTTCCACAGATGTCCATTCAGTTTTTTTTTTTTCCTATTTCCATTATTAAGTGTTGAGATTCAGGAGTCATATTCTCTCACCTAATCCAGCTGCACAGTGTACACTTACTCAATAATAATAATAATAATAAGTAATTTAACACACATATTTCAGATAGATGTTTGTCAGCTGACTCAGCTCACTGATGGTGTATACATCCCACCTCTTAACTTAAATGTTTTTTTTCAGTGTACTGTAGCCTGACTGTCTTGTATGTTTTGTATAATATTTGTATGAAGCTGTGGATGAGGGGTTGGAAAAGATCTTCAGCTCCTCTAAAAAAAGAGACATGTTTCTGAAGAGGCATGGATGACCATGTGATGATTGATTGGTTAATGAGATTTGTAGATTGCTCCTCCTCTTGTGCTGTTCATTCATTTGCAGTTCTGACTGTTACAAATACACATATTGATGCTTTAACGGGGGGGGGGGGGGCTTGAGCATGTTTAGAGGACTTTCAGCTGAATACCTGATGCTAATCTTGCAAAACAGTGACTCATTTGGCAGGTTTACATTGCACATATGCTTTTAATGAAGCCATCTGATGCTTCTGTATGAAGGCCTGAGGGAAGAGCATGAGCTCTACCAGTACAGGTTTGTGGTACTGATATGTCAGTCTGATGTCAGCATTGTGTTGGAGCAGGGATGTGTGAAGCAGCAGAGAAGAACCTGTATGCTGTCTTGGGAGCCAGCCCCTCAGACTCAGTCCAGCAGCTCAGACACAGGTACCAGCAGCTGGCCTTACAGGTAAAAAACTGCTCTGTCTGTCTCTGTATCAGTATGAAGCAACACAGCCACCACTGCATACTGTTTGAGAGCAGGCCTCTGTCTGTTGGTCTGTACAGTTCTGGGCTCAAATTAGACAATAGGCACAGCCGGAATGAAGCCCAAACAGAGCAGTGTTTCCCGTATTATATTATTAAATATCCCTATGTTATTTATCTTATTTATACGACGGCATGTCATTTCTGTCTCTACATGGTCACGCATTTACAATTCTCCTCTGCTGTCTGTATCACGCATGGCAGAGTTCCGCCCCACTGCACATACACATGCACAGACACGTGTGCAAACAAACACACAGGTGAGCACACTATTTGGGCAGCATTTTCTTGACCGAACTCGACCCAAGTCGGAGACAGTTATAACCGAACCCGACATGAACCCGACACAGTTTGTTACCTGACATAGATATTGTTATGGACAGTGTGGCTGCTGTAATGCACAGTCAAACACGCCGCTACACACAATCAATTGGAGCGCAGTTTATAATGTTGTGGTCTTCAATGAAGTTGACTGAGAAAACAAAAAATCAATTGGAGCAGAGCCTGTGTTGCGTTCAGGTGTTGTCACGTAAATAACAAATTCCAGCACTTGAATAGGCCATAGCACAACACAGCAGCATGTCAAGTGGGCTGAACCCGAGCAAAATTTTTGAGTTGCTATCTGACAGCCCCCCAAAAGCTGTAAACTTAGGGGAAACACTGCAGAGGGTACATCTGACTGATATCAAACATTATTTGTCTAAATGTGTAAAACTAAATGTTTATCCAAACCCTGACTTGTTACAGACCAACTTCACATTTTGTCAAGGCTGTCCTAATACAACAAAACATGCCTGTGTGTATGCTGAGGAAGTTATGGTCACTCCTGTTCATACTGGCCGTAGAGTGATCCTTTCACAGCACTGTTACATGGTAGCAGCAGATGGGGAACAACATCTGTGGTAAAATAGATAATAATAATAAAAAATCCAGCTGAAAATGTATTTCTAGTTTGAGTTTAACAAATCCATTTGTCTGTGTTGTGTGTGTATGGGCATGTACAGTACCATCCAGATCGTCTCAGAGGTGAGTGTCCTTCAGAAGCAGAGTCTGCTGTGAAGAAGTTTCTAGAAGTTGATGAAGCTTGGAAGATCCTTAGTGACCAGAACACCAGGAGACAGTATGACCTGCAGAGGAGAGGTAAGAATACACGTTTCACTTTATCTGCTTCTGTGTCATGGACATGGTCATTGTTTAGTTTCTAAGACATGAAAAACTTTTTTCTTTTACTTTCTTTTATTTGTGTTGATATGCAGAGGTGGTCCTAGCACATTTGATGCCCTTCTTTTGTGCTAGGAAAACACAGAAATCTACACTATAAAGAAAAAAGTATTTTTTAAAGTCATTCAGTCCTTCATTACACTACCTTTGAACGAGTGCAAATTTAATAATACACATTTATGAAACAACCTTTAATATAACCTTTTACATGAAAAACATAAAAAAGTAACTGCTTCAATAACCTTTTTAATATTTAAAATATGTCATACTTCCCTCTGTAATATCTATTGGAAAACATCAGCAAATTTCTCCCTTAAACAGATGGATTTATTCAAGTTTCTCACCAAAAGCTTAGAAGATTATGCTAAAAAGATTACGTTAAACACATGAAAACATTTTGATTTACCTTCACCTAATACACATTTTTTCTGAATAAAGCTTGAATGCATTATAAAGTAACTCAATGCAACATCCGTCAGTAGTTATTTCTGAACTCCAGCTACTGACAGCCAACGTTAACTAGCTCTCCTCCTGCTGATGTCAACACGGATTTGTTCCTCACAATGAAGCATTGTCAGGGAAACGGTAGGTTGCTTCACCTGACTCATCCATAAGGAGTTAACTGCGTCCTTTCGTCCTGATGATGTCCCAGGGAAGATTTCTGTTTGTCCTTGTTTTCTATTGTCCCTGAGACAACCAGACGCTATCAGTCTTGAGCCCCGCTTTTTAGCCTGCACAGAATTGATGTTCCACAGTAAAAAACATTGGCCACTGCCATCGATGAATGTCATCTTTTTTTGCTGATAGGTCTATAGTTAGTTAACAAGGCAAAAATTGGCCGTTGTGCGGCAGTTAAATAGGCACATCCCTCGTATCTCATGTGGATCTGTCATGTGGTTGGCAACACCCCATTCACAATAAGGTCAGAATCAGCTCTGATACTATTCCAGTGTATTGGATCAGTACATCCCTCAGATCAGTACAACACTCTGGCCCATCCATTCATATACCAATATTTGTGGTGTCTTGAACACATGAACCCCTGCATAAATACTGTTCTAGAATATGTATAATATCACAAATCTGCTGCCTGTTTTATAACATCTGACAGTGCAGAAATGTTGATTGACAGGACGTTACTTTGGGACTTTGGTTTTAGTCCTATTTGCGGACTTACTGGTATAAAGCCTTTTATCCCTGCAGCTGGCATGAATAAAAATATAGGGAGGGAGTGCTGGTCAGTTCATTACTGTGGTTGTACGAGGGTTTTTAATCCATTTTGCCCTGGTCACACTAGGGATGGGTACCAAAACCTTGTATTAAACGGGCCCCGGGGCCAAATTATTGAAGACCATAGTATTGATGCTACAAAGTGTGGTTAAATTTTACAAGAGCTGATGCTGACACTGCTTGTTACCACAAGTTCAACAATGCCCTTGCATGTAAAGGCAGAAACACGAGCAATCTTTCCAAACATCTAGTGAAAGTGCATCACATACAGACAGAGAAATGCACCGTTTTTGATGGCCTATCTCATAGTTCATCTCCGGTTACGCCATCCTACTCGGGTATGTTATAGTATCCCGAAAAGCGCTATATACTGTAAATCCAATGTATTATTATTATTATTATTGTTGTTATCATTATTATTATTTTTATATTAATTAATTCAGGTTGCTTTGGTTCCTAGCATTTTTTTCCCCTGTTAAAGGGTTTTTGGGGGAGTCTATCCTTATCCACTGTGAAAGTCCAAGGACAGAGGGATGTTGTATGCTGTAAAGCCCTCTGAGGCAAATTTTCATTTGTGATATTGGAGTTAATAGATAAAATTGAAAATTGAAATTGACTTCAAAACAGTACTGTCGTAGAATGTTAATTTATGTACTGAACTTACATCCATAGAAAATAATTAGTTACATTTTTTTTCCTCATAAAATCCCCCAAAAAGAGCTGACAAGAGTACCGCATGGATACGCAGTATCAGTGAGAGTAGTAGTATCACTAAAATCCCATTCCTAGGTCACACTGTGAGGGAAATAATACAAATACAATACAGCTTGTAGTACTTGGAAGTTTTTATGATCAGTGGTTCAGACACTTCTCAGCCAGAACCACAAAAGTATGAAGGTTTGATGCCCAGTTCTACTTTTAAGTTTTGTAGGCTGGAAAATTTATATTTCACATTCCAATATTGACCCAAAGTCGCTGTGAGGAAAAAAATGTCCTGATATAGATAGATTTTCAGCTGTAAGAAATAAAATAGATATTTGTTTTCTGTTGTTGTGTGTGCAAGCCCCATGCTCTCCCTTATCATTAGTCCTGTTTTGAGTTATTACCAGTTCAGCAGCAATTGAGATGCATGGGCTTACACAGCATACGTACTGTCTTTCTCTCTTGTTTTTAAGTGTTGTGTCAGTTGCTGTTTGTAGTGGTTGTTTTATCCCTGAGAAGCCTAACCAGGGACAAGCATTGCAGATTAGTTACGGCAAAAAGTCCCATATACATTGCATTGGTTGTATTGTAGTGATGTGTCGGTCGCGAACGAACCGGTTCAAAGAGCCGGCTCTATTAAGTGAACGATGGGAGCCGGCTGTTGTATGCTGCTGTTTTGCACATTGCAATTTAGCTATTTCTTTTTATTATGTTATTTATTTATGATTATTTGTGTTTAAATAAAAATTGAAAATGTCAATAGCCTTCCTTTTTTATTTCTTTGCTTAAGTTTTTAAAGGTGTTTCTATCTGCTTTGTGTAGCACAGTGGTTCTTCAAGCAAGTCAGTGCATTCATTGGGTGGTTTCGGAGAGTTACAAGGGTCTGTAAATGCAATGAAAACAATTGGCTACAGCAATTTATTGATATTAGAAAATGTAATTTTTACTTGTGAATACTTCAGTACAAAAGATGTATTGAATTATTTAAGTGATATGTGTACACATACATATGATAAGCCAAACAGCGCTAAATTTGGCTGAATTATAAAATATATAAGTGGTAAAATTAAGAGCCGTTTGGGAGCCGAAAGAGCCGGCTCTTCATGGTGAGCTGGGCCAAATGATCTCGCTCACTAAAAAGAACCGTAATTCCCATCACTATTGTATTGATATGTAACAAATGAAACAATATTATGTATCGTCCTTGTCACAAAAGTGAATAAGACTTTTTTTTTTTAATTATTCCACACACAGTGTAACACTAATTAAAATCCAAGCAAAGTTTAGCACTAATTATTCATGGTTCAAGTCATTATCACTGTCAAGCTGCACAACTTGATAATGACTGTTTCCTCAAGAGTGAACTGTAAAAAAAATTAAAGTGTGTGAAATCCATCTGTTAACCTGTCTATCCATTGTTCTATCTCTAGTCCATCTGTCAGTCCATCCATTTATCTGTCCTTACATCTATTTTCATCCATCTATCCACTGATGGCTGAGGTTCTGTCCTAGATCTGTTAATTTTTTTTTAGAATGTAGAATATTTGTTAATTCATTAAAAAAATCTCAGTTACATAAGTATTGAGGCCCTTAATTCAGTCTGTTGTAGAAGCACTTTTGGTAGCAGTTTTAAGCTTTGAGTCTTCTTAGGTAATTCTCTACAAACTTTGCACTCTTCATTGGAATGTTATTCCCATTCTTCCTGGCAAATCTTATCTTTTTTTTTTTTTTTTTCACTCGCGTTATTGAGTTTTCACAGATGTATCAACAGTACAAACATACTGACACAAAAATAATACAGTGTGGCACAAACACCAAATAAAAATACAAATAACAATAATTCGTTGTCTGGGGCGTTGTCAGTATTCAAATAAGTGTCTTCAAGTTAGGGATTCTTTTAGTTGGTGTCTTGTCTCATATGGATGTTCCATTTTTTCCAGTTCTTTTTAAATGTATTCTCTTTAATTTTGAAAACACATGTCAACTTTTCCATCACTAAAATTTCTTGGTCAATTTCTAGCCAGTGTTCCTGTTTTGGGGGGCTTACCTTGAGCCAGTGCCTGGTAATAGCTTTCTTATTTGCTCCAAATAAAACTGTAGTCAAGTAAATATCTTTTCTTATCACAACACCTTTAATGTTCCCGAGATACATCATAAGGCAGGTATTTGGGATTTCATATCCCAAAACATTTTGAACAGCCACATGAATATTTTCCAGTATGACCAGATCTTTGTACAGTTCCAAGAAATATGCGAGTGGTAGGCCTCCATGCTCCTACACAGCCTCAAACATTGTTGCTGTGTACCAAGCTGCCTGCTATTTATTTTGGGTGTTGTGAAAAAGCAGGGTAAATTCTTCCAGCAGAATTCCCTCGACACTAGTGAGTTTGTGAATGTACATTGTGTCTCACACATTTGGTATCAGTCTTTCTCTTTTATTTGAATCTTCAACTCTGCTTCTTATCTTTAATTTTTACTTTTTATTTTTTTCTCTTTAATCTTATTCTATTTAATGTCCTTTGATTTTGATCAATAAAGTATATCTTATCTTACCTTATCTTCCAGTATTGCTTTGATGTAAAGTGTTGAGTCCCCTCTACATCCCCCAAAGCTTGGTAGGAAGCAGAGATGAACTGAGAACCCTTCTGTTTGTATACTTCTGCAATCACCTCAGTCATATTTTTTGAGATTTCCTCTGATCCCTGGCTTAAACTTTGAATCATATGCAAACCATCATAATGTATGAATCGCTCTTTTTAATTTGCATTTTTCCATGATAACATTCCATATTTCTAGAGTAAATGCTACTACTGGATCCATTGCATGTCTCAAAGTTTCTGTCAAATATTTGTCTCCCACTAAGATCTGGATCTGGTAGTCCTGTATCTCCGTTTCCATTTCTTTACATCGAAAAATGGAAAGTGTGTGGTCTACACCAACAGGCCAGGGGTCTAAGCTGGGCTCCATAAAAGTATTCCCTAAGATTT